CTAGACTATAGACTAGACTATAGACTAGACTATAGACTAGACTATAGACTAGACTATAGACTAGACTATAGACTAGACTATAGACTAGACTATAGACTAGACTATAGACTAGACTATAGACTAGACTATAGACTAGACTATAGACTAGACTATAGACTAGACTAGACTAGACTATAGACTAGACTATAGACTAGACTATAGACTAGACTATAGACTAGACTATAGACTAGACTATAGACTAAACTATAGACTAGACTATAGACTAGACCGTACACTAGACTAGACTATAGACTAGACTATAGTCTAGACTATAGACTAGACTATAGTCTAGACTATAGACTAGACTATAGACTAGACTATAGACTAGACTATAGACTAGACTATAAACTATAGACTAGACTATAAACTATAGACTAGACTATAAACTATAGACTAGACTATAGACTAGACTATAGACTATAGACTAGACTATAGACTAGACTATAGACTAAACTATAGACTAAACTATAGACTAAACTATAGACTAAACTATAGACTAAACTATAGACTAAACTATAGACTAAACTATAGACTAAACTATAGACTAAACTAAACTATAGCCTAAACTATAGACTAAACTTTAGACTAAACTATATACTAAACTATAGACTAAACTTAAGACTAAACTATAGACTAAACTATATACTAAAGTTTAGACTAAACTATAGACTAAACTATAGACTAAACTATAGACTAAACTATAGACTAAACTTCAGACTAAACTATAGACTAAACTAAACTATAGACTAAACTATAGACTAAACTTTAGACTAAACTTTAGACTAAACTTTAGACTAAACTATAGACTAAACTATAGACTAAACTATAGACTAAACTTCAGACTAAACTATAGACTAAACTATAGACTAAACTATAGACTAAACTATAGACTAAACTATAGACTAAACTATAAACTAAACTATAGACTAAACTTTAGACTGAACTATATACTAAACTATAGACTAAACTATAGACTAAACTATAGACTAAACTTTAGACTAAACTATAGACTAAACTTTAGACTAAACTATAGACTAAACTATAGACTAAACTATAGACTAAACTATAGACTAAACTATAGACTAAACTATAGACTAAACTATAGACTAAACTATAGACTGTATATATGACAGACTCCAAAAAAGTCCAACAAAATTAAGCCAGTTGCAGCAGCCTACCTGCCAGGAAAACTGCTGCTGCCTCTAGATTTATGTGTTAAAAGGAGAGATGCGACATAAACATTGTTATTTTTAATTTTTTATGATGAATTATAATAATTCTCTTAAAACTTACGAGTTTAAAGTACTTTTAGTATCTCTTCCCTACCCCCATTCCCTATCTTTCCCCAGCCTACCACAGTTTAATTGCTGTAAAAAGGTATGACAACTGAAATTCATTATAATTATTTAGACACAAGTGGTCATTAAAATTAAAAAAAAAAAACACACGCGCTTAACAGCAACTTTGCACTTAGTTGTTGAAAATTTCAGATTTTGCTGTTGAAAATGTTGTTAAACTAAAGACTCAAAAAGAAACTTGATAATTATGACGAAAAAATGTATGTTTGCTATACTTTTTGTTTAAACATTAAATACTCTTTTGTCTTTAGCTGTTTGTTTGTTTTCTTAACAAATTAAAAACATTTAATTAACTTCCGTTAATCATCTTTATCATAATTATATTAATGTCATCATTGTGTGGTTAAATTGTTATTAGAAACGGATATGACAGACCGAGTGTAACTGAAGACTATTTATGGTGAGTTAATTTAAATGTACTTAAATAGCGGAACAGATTTGAAGAAATAATTGAAGTTTTGAACAATTTGTTAGGGAAAATTTTAAAATTACAGGTGATGGGAGAAGTAAAGAGTAGATTATGAAGATTGTTTTACAAACTTCAGTGTAATTTCTAAAGTTTAGACTATAGAGGCATCAGAAGTCTAAAAAATAGTCAAGGAAATAGTTTAGTATATAGTATAGCCTATAATGTAGTCTATAGTCTGGTTTATAGTCTAGTGTATAGTCTAGTGTGTAGTTTACAGTCTAATTTATAATTTTGCCTATAATCTATAGTCTGGTCTATAGTCCAGTCAATAATCTGGTCTATAGTGTAGTTTATAGTCTAGTGTATAGTCTAGTGTATAGTCTAGTGTATAGTTTACAGTCTAATTTATAATTTTGCCTATAGAATAGTCTAGTCTGTATTCTAGTCTATAGTTTGGTCGATAGTCTAGTCTATAGTCTATTCTGTAATCTATATTTTACTGTATATTCTAGTCTAGTCTAGCCTAGTCTGTCTCTACTTTAGTCTACATTTTGGTCAATATAATATTCCATTGACTATTTAGTAGTCTATAGTCTAGTCTATAGTCTAGTCTATAGTCTAGTCTATTGTCTAGTCTATAGTCTAGTCTATAGTCTAGTCTATTGTCTAGTCTATAGTCTAGTCTATAGTCTAGTCTATAGTCTAGTCTATAGTCTAGTCTATAGTCTAGTCTATAGTCTAGTCTATAGTCTAGTCTATAGTCTAGTCTATAGTCTAGTCTATAGTCTAGTCTATAGTCTAGTCTAGTCTAGTCTATAGTCTAGTCTATAGTCTAGTCTATAGTCTAGTCTATAGTCTAGTCTATAGTCTATAGTCTAGTCTATAGTCTAGTCTATAGTCTAGTCTATAGTCTAGTCTATAGTCTAGTCTATAGTCTAGTCTATAGTCTAGTCTATAGTCTAGTCTAGTCTAGTCTATAGTCTAGTCTATAGTCTAGTCTATAGTCTAGTCTATAGTCTAGTCTATAGTCTAGTCTATAGTCTAGTCTATAGTCTAGTCTATAGTCTAGTCTATAGTCTAGTCTATAGTCTAGTCTATAGTCTAGTCTATAGTCTAGTCTATAGTCTAGTCTATAGTCTAGTCTATAGTCTAGTCTATAGTCTAGTCTATAGTCTAGTCTATAGTCTAGTCTATAGTCTAGTCTATAGTCTAGTCTATAGTCTAGTCTATAGTCTAGTCTATAGTCTAGTCTATAGTCTAGTCTATAGTCTAGTCTATAGTCTAGTCTATAGTCTAGTCTATAGTCTAGTCTATAGTCTAGTCTATAGTCTAGTCTATAGTCTAGTCTATATTCTAGTATATAGTTGTCTATAGTCTAGTCTATAGTCTAGTCTATGTCTAGTTTCCTAGTCTGTCTATAGTCTAGTCTATAGTCTAGTTATAGTTCTCTAGTCTAAGTCTAGTCTATAGTCATGTTATATCTAGTAATATCAGTCTGTCTATAGTCTAGGTCTATTGTAAGTCTATAGTTAGTCTATAGTCTAGTCTATATTCTAGGTCTATGTATAGTATATAGTCTAGTCTAATTCTAAGTCTATAGTCTAGTCTATAGTCTAAATCTATATCTAGTCTATAGTCTAGTCTATAGTCTAGTCGATAGGTCTATAGTCTAGTCTATAGTCTAGTCTATAATCTAGTCTATCGTCTAGTCATAATGCTAGTCTAGTCTATAGTCCTAGTCCTGGTAGTGTAGCCTTATGTCTAGTCGCTAGCCTATAGTATAGTCTATTATCTGGTCTATTACTCTAGTCTTAATAATTTGAGATAATCTGATTTCAATCTTTTTCTATTCTTCTATAAATCTCAATTAACTTTGTTCCCTTCAAGTGCCAAAGTCATGAGTTTAAATGCTTAAAACTAACAACTAATTAATGTTGTAATTTTGCAGCGAAAATATGCGACAAAATGGGGAAAAAGAAAATGCAGAATAAGAGCAATATAAAATCTGAAGACTCTTGAAAAAAAGTTCAAATGATTTTTTTTGCCCTTTTATTTACCAGCAATAAGGAGTTAAAATCAGCTTAATACACACCTATTTACTGTCTGCTGCTGACTAGTTTTTTTCTCGTAATTTTCTCATACTTTCTTTTCATTATAGTTTTTGCTCTCAGAATTTGCTATAAATTTTGATTTATGGTACAGAGTGTGTGTGTGTGTGCATTTGAGTTTTGAAACACATTAATTAGTTACAAATTTTCTACTAGTTTGAATCCCTTTTTTTCTATTATTCTTTTTATGTTTTTCTTATATTTCTTTTAATAACTAATTCTTTAGTCTGTGGTTAATTAGCTGCTTTTCATTGGATGTTTTTCAGTTTTTTTTTTGCATTGAAAGTTGCATTATAATCATTATTAAGTTGATTACAGGCTCTAAAGTTGCAAACAATAAATTGCAAAAGTTTCTTGATGATGTTTTTGTTATTGTGGTACAATTTACAAAAACTTTTGATTTAAATTAATCTTTTGAATTTTATTGTTAGGAAAAAAGAATTTGACAGTTGAAATATTGCTGCTTAATCAAAATTTTACTCAAATATGTCTCAAGTTAATTAATGTGAAAGTTTGCGGTAATAATGAAAAGAGAAAGAGGTTGAAAAGTGGTAAATGGGAAATTTTGTTGCAATATTTTCGGTTTAAATCAGGTGAAAAACTTTGTTATAGTTGGTAATTAATCATTGTTATAAGTTGTTAACGAATTTGTGATTAGTTGTGTTAGAAAATAGGATAAATGATTAGGAACACTGGAAGAAAACTTGTTAAAATAACTTGTGTAGTATTATGGTCCTTCGAACCAAACTAATTTAGAACTTTAGCTGTAAAATGTTTGGCAATAATTAGTCCTTATCGGCTAATGTATTTACAGATGTTTACCCATTTTTAAGGACTACCTAATGTTCAATTAAGAAACCGGAAACAAAACTTAAATGGTCCTACGAGCCTAAAGCATTCAGTTAATTAAAACAAATTATAACAAAAGTGGCTAAAAATATGAAAAGAACAAAAAATTTTGTGAAAAAGGAACAATTTTGGTTATGTAAAACTATTTGTAGTAGCATGCTGATGGTCCTTCGGATCCTAATATGTGAATGAGAATTTTTATCTAATTTCTGTTCTTTTTCTCTTTTTTTTTTATAGCCCGCCCAACAACAGAATCAACAGCAACCATTGTTGAATAAATCAAATGATGATTTAAGAAGAAAACGCCCAGAAGCAGCACGGCCAAATCATATTCTATTATTCACCATTATAAATCCCTTCTATCCCATCACAGTTGTAAGTACAATTTGCAAAATTTATATTTAAAAATTTATACAGATTCATTTCAAAAAAAAAAAAAAAAAAATTCAAAACCACACTATAGTTTGGACTATAGACCAGACTATAGTCCAAACCATAGACAAGACTAGACTATAAACAAGACTATAGACAAAACTATAGACAATACTATATATCAGAATATAGATCAAATTAAGGACTAGAATATAGGCCAGACTATAGACAAGACTATATATTAGGCCAAAGAACAGACTATAGACGAGACTATAGATTATACTATATACCAGACTATTAACTGCACTCTAGACCAGACTAGAGACTAGACTATAGACCATACTATAGACTGTACTAAAGACTGTACTAAAGACTGTACTATAGACCAGACTATAGACAAGACTATAGACAAGACTATAGACAAGACTATAGACCAGACTATAGACCAGACTATAGACCAGACTATAGAACAGACTATAGACCAGATTATAGACCTGACTATAGACCAGTCTATAGACCAGACTATAGAAAAGACTATAGACCAGACTATAGAAAAGACTATAAAACAGACTATAGACCTATAGACCAGGCTATAGACCAGACTATAGACCGGACTATAGACCAGACTATAGACCAGACTATAGACCAGGCTATTGACCAGACTATAGACCAGACTATAGTTTAGACTATAGACCAGACTATAGACCAGACTATAGACCAGACTATAGACCAGACTATAGACCAGACTATAGACCAGACCATAGACTAGACTGTAGACCAGACTATAGACAAGACTATAGACTGGACTAAACACCAGACCATAGATAAGTCTATAGACCGTACTATAGACTGGACTGTATATCTGATTATAGACAAGACTATAGACTGGACTATAGACAAGTCTATAGACTGGACTATAGGCAAGTCTATAGACTGGACTATAGACAAGTCTATAGACTGGACTATAGACCTGACTATAGACTGGACTATAGACCAGACTATAGAGCAGACTGTAGAGTAAAGAATATATATACTGGACTAACTGGACTGGACTAAAGAACAAACTATAGTCAAGACAATACTCAAATATGGTCCTTCGAACTGTAATATTGAAATACTGTATCTTTGTTGTACTGAAACTGTTTAAAAACTGCAGATTTAGCTAAAATATTATTACATCCAAAAATTAAACAGATATTTATTATAAAAACAAATTGTCTTCAATTCAATTATGGTCTTTCGAACCGTATTATTAAGGCTAAAATCCATAAAAACTACAAAATAAGATTTCCAAATTTGTTTTTTAAGCTTTCTAAGAGAAACACTTCAGCAGTTTAACTATTTCCCTAAAGTGTTAAAAAAGGAGGCTAGGTTTTAAACAAAAAAAAAAAAAAAAAACGATAAGAATCCATTAAACATTTAAAAACATGCTGTAAGGCAAACAGCATGCAGTCATTCATTCAAACAAGTCAGTCAACCATTTAAATGATATATGAACATGGTCGTTGTCAGCGTCTTCCTCTAAAACAATACATATGAAAAGCCACCCATACACATGTGTAGGCTGGCAGTTAGTCATTCTTTCATACTTTTTACAAACATTTTTAACACTAGACTTTAAGTACTTAAGTGTTTTAAGGACATCATCGTCATCATCATCATCATCTTCCTCAAGCTAAAAGGCTCAAAAAGAAATCCTGTTATTAAAAACGCTTAGAATCTTTTGCCTCTTCTCTAAAAGTAAGCAACAACAACAAAATCTAGTCATTACTACACGTTTTTATGTATTTTATTATAGTTTTTTTTAGTTGTTGCTTTTTTAAACTACTGTTTTGCAACAAACAATTTGTGTTTTATTCTCCTTTAGTTTAACAAAGTTTATTGTCTTTTTTTTATATAAAAGCAGAGTCTAGTATATTGAGAAACATTCAAGTGTTAGCATTACTTACAGGGGAACAAAACAATGCTCGACAAATGTATTTAAAAAAAAAAGAAACAAAATCTTACCGGAAATAAAAAATGTAAATTTTTTTGTCATCAAGTAGTTTTTCTATTTTTATATGTTTTTTTTGTAATTTTAACTTTTCACACAGTTAACTGTAAAAAATAGAGAAAAGTTATTGTAAAGAAAACCAAAGACCAGGATGTGTAGTCTACTTAGCCAAAAGGATACAATGGGTTTAGGCCAAAGATAGAGTTTTAAAAAATTTTGTTTTAAGAAAGTGTCTGCAGAACAACAATGTTCCTTCGAACTAGAGTTTTATTTATAGTCTGGACTATAGTCTTGTCTTTAGATTGTACTATAGTCTGGACTATAGTCTTGTGTATAGTCCAGTCTATAGTCTTGTCTATAGTCTGAACTACAGTCCAGTCTATAGTCTTGTCTGTACTCTGGACTATAGTCAAGTCTTGTCTATAGTCTAGCCTATAGTCTTGTCTATAGTCTTGTCTATAGTCTTGTCTATAGTCTTGTCTATAGTCTTGTCTATAGTCTTGTGTATAGTCTTGTCTATAGTCTTGTCTATAGTATGGTCTATAGTCCAGTCTGTAGTCTTGTTTATAGTCTGGGCTATAGTCCAGTCTATAGTCTTGTCTATAGTCTGGACTATAGTCCAGTCTATAGTCTTGTCTATAGTCTGGACTATAGTCCAGTCTATAGTCTTGTCTATAGTCTGGACTATAGTCCAGTCTATAGTCTTGTCTATAGTCTGGACTATAGTCCAGTCTATAGTCTTGTCTATAGTCTGGACTATAGTCCAGTCTATAGTCTTGTCTATAGTCTGGACTATAGTCCAGTCTATAGTCTTGTCTATAGTCTGGACTATAGTCCAGTCTATAGTCTTGTCTATAGTCTGGACTATAGTCCAGTCTATAGTCTTGTTTATAATCCGGAGTATAGTGCAGTCCATAGTCTTGTCTATAGTCTGTACTATAGTCCAGTCTATAGTCTTGTCTATGCTCTGCACTATAGTCCAGTTCATAGTCTTGTTTATACTCTGGACTATAGTCCAGTCTATAGCCTTGTCTATAGTCCTGCCTATGGTCTTGTCTATAGTTTTGTCTATAGTCTTGTCTATAGTCTTGTCTATAGTCTTGTCTATAGTCTTGTCTATAGTCTTGTCTATAGTCTGGACTATAGTTTAGTCTATAGTATTGTCTATAGTCTGGACTATAGTCTTTTCTGTAGTCTTGTCTATAGTCTGGACTATAGTCCAGTCTGTAGTCTTGTCTATAGTCTCTACTATAGTCCAGTCTATAGTCTTGTCTATAGTGTGGACTATAGTCCAGTCTATGGTCTTGTCTATAGTCCTGCCTATGGTCTTGTCTATAGTTTTGTCTATAGTCTTGTCTATAGTCTTGTCTATAGTCTTGTCTATAGTCTTGTCTATAGTCTTGTCTATAGTCTGGACTATAGTTTAGTCTATAGTATTGTCTATAGTCTGGACTATAGTCTTTTCTGTAGTCTTGTCTATAGTCTGGACTATAGTCCAGTCTGTAGTCTTGTCTATAGTCTCTACTATAGTCCAGTCTATAGTCTTGTCTATAGTGTGGACTATAGTCCAGTCTATGGTCTTGTCTATAGTCTGGACTATAGTCCAGTCTATGGTCTTGTCTATAGTCTGGACTATAGTCCAGTCTATGGTCTTGTCTATAGTCTGGACTATAGTTTAGTTGGACTTTAGTCCAGTCTTGTCTATAGTCTGGATTAAAGTCCAGTCTATAGTCTTGTCTATAGTCTGGACTATAGTCCAGTCTATAGTCTTGTCTATAGTCTGGACAATAGTCCAGTCTATAGTCTTGTCTATAGTCTGGACAATAGTCCAGTCTATAGTCTTGTCTATAGTCTGGACAATAGTCCAGTCTATAGTCTTGTCTATAGTCTGGACAATAGTCCAGTCTATAGTCTTGTCTATAGTCTGGACTATACTCCGGTCTATAGTCTTGTCTATAGTCTGGACTATACTCCGGTCTATAGTCTTGTCTATAGTCTGGACTATAGTTTTGTCTATAGTCTGGATTATAGTCCGGTCTATAGTCTTGTCTATAGTGTGGACTGCAGTCCAGTCTATAGTCTTGTATATAGTCTGAACTAAAGCGAATTGTAGCATTATTAATATTTTTGTTTATTTTGCTAGTTTTACACCCAGATATTTCTCTAATTTCAATGACATTATATGGCTGTAGGTAAATATTTAGTCATAATAGTAGTAATTGGAAGCGCTGCTTGCAAACAACTTAGACAGACGTCGTTTACATGTAATTGTCACCAGTATCAGTTCAAGTTTTAAATAAAACTATTGAAATGAAAAACCTTAAACTACAACGTGTGTGTGTGTGGTTGCTCTAGAGTTAATTATAGTTTTAACATTTATTTATTTTGATTTTTTTGATATTTAACACTTTTGACATTGATCTTCTCCCCTCTTTTGGTTGTATATTACAAATACTTCCTCTTAGAGTTTATTTATATTTCAAAGTGTCGGTTTAATCTTGTTTTTGTGTAGTAATTAAAGATTTTTCAAGATCAATGTTTAATTTTCATAAATCCAAAAAAATGACTTTGAAGTCATCTTAATTCTACTCTAATACTTGATATTAGATTGCGGGGATTTTGCTATTTTATCTCTAAAATGAAAAATATTTAAATTTTTAATATAAAAATGTATAAAAAAGAAATCAAGAGAAAATAATATATTTTAGATTTTTATGCAACACATGTTTTTCATATGCTGACATTAACAACAAATGTAATGTGACACATTTGACTAAATACATGACTATGCAATGCATATATGTATATTTTTTTGCATTATGTTCTTATTTTGGAATTAAGTGTTAAGGTTGCCACCCCATTTCGAAAAAGTTAAGGCCAAGATAAAGTCATTTAAGATGATTAGAATGGAAAATTTCTTCATATTTAACTGCCTTTAACTTGCTACTGGATAGATTTATCTTTTCCAAAATTGGTGTACAGACCCTATGAGGTTTTGAGATTTTAAAAA